CCATGTTGTCACAATTAAATAATAAAATGAAAAAAATATAAAAATTAAAAAAAAATGATAACATTTTTAACATCAATATATTTGTCATATTAAATAATAATAAGTATGGTAAACAATGTTTTAAAAACTGACCCGAATGTCGACTCACTTTTGCCTTCGGGTCACAGGTCACCAATTCGACTATCAAAGTCAAACGAGTCAAAGTGCTCTGCATCAACACTATGTGTGTGTAAAAATACATATTTAATCAATAAATAGTATAATTATGTTTTACATATATCATAGTTATATTTTATAATTGTGTTTTACATATATTACATATAATATATGTATTATATTATATTTATTTATGTTTTTCAATTCTATTTTAAATTTTTTATTTATAAAAAATATTAAAAATTGCAATTTGGGGCAAAAAAAAAGGTTCTTTTGCAAAAATAGCAAGGCAAGGCGCATAATGCCCTTTCGACGTATAGATCTTGAAAAGTTACTCAAAAAAAAAAAGATAATCCCAATCGGACATCAGAGTGCAAAGTTATGGCTTCCAAAAGTTTGCAAATAATTAACCGTGCAACCTACGACTTGGTTATTGCGTTGAACAGGTCAATGGTTGAACCGCCCAAGTTAGATGTTTTTAACCAAAAGGGGGTTTCAATAGAACCAAACATAGAATCAAGACCGAGTGATGGTTCGAACGGTTCAATCGGGCATGTCAATAACAAGTTAAAAACATTGATTATAAATAAGAATTGTTTTTATTAATGATGGAAATGAAATGTAAAATTTAAAACCAATTGGAAGTAAAATTATTTTTCTATTATCTCTCATTAAATCTCATATCTAAGGTATATTCTCTTATTAAATCCTATATTTAAGATATATTTCTCTCATCATTAAATTCTACTAATTAAATCCATAACAATTATTTCAATAATATAAAAATAAATATTTTAAAAAATAATTTGAAAACAAAACCATTTGCTTTCCTCTATGTGGTGGGTAAGCAATTCAACCATTTGAGGTCAAATCTGTTGATAAATAATGCTATAATTAAATAATAAAAATTTAAAATAAATAAAATATATAATACAAAATAATATAAAAAGAAATAGCATGTCATTAATATTGTATATTCATTATATTAAACAAAAATAAGTATGAAATGTAAGAAGTATTTTTGCAAATGATGAAAATAGAATGCCAAAATTAAAATCAACATAGAAGTGAAATGATGTCATAGTTAAATAATAAAATTTTTTAAAAATAGAAAATACAAAGAATCACAAAAATAAATATTATACATAAGATATAATTTTATCAATAATGGAACTATAATACAAAATTTAATGTCAACCTAGAAATCAAACTATTTTTCTTTTTGGGTTGTGGGTTAGTGCTTTGGGTCAAATGGATTAATCGATTATATAATAGTTAAATAATAAATCTTTAAAAAATAATAAAAAAGTTCAAGTAATCAAAATGATATATAAAAAATTATATATTAATTATGTCAAACAAAAATTAAGTGTGATGAGTAAAAATTATGTATATTATGTAGATGAAATATATAATTTAAAACTGATCCAAAAGTAAAGTTATTTTCTTATTTAAATGGTGGGTCAATGATCCAACTTTTCAAAGAAATTCATGATGTCATGGTTGAATAATAAATATTTAAAAAAAAAGACAAAACACAAAAGATAAAAAAAGTACAGAGTTTTGTCAAAAATATTTCATAACATTTTTAATGTTATATAATCATCATATTAAATAAAAATAATTATTAAAATAAAATTTATTTTTATTTAAGACATAAATGGAATACAAAATTTAGTAATAATAGTAGTAGTAGTAATTTAAAATTTTTGCAGGTACACATTTAATACAAGTATTTAAATTTATTTTTAACAATATTATTACTTTTATTAATTTTTAATTTCTATCCTAACTATGATATATCTAAAATTAAAGTAATTAATATGAAAAAAAAAATCCATACTTACAATGCGCATACTTAATTACTAGTATAGCATAAGAGTCGTCAGTTCGGTCAATTATCTTATCAGTTATGATGAGCGCACCTCATGAGTCATGAAGCAGGTTGATCGTTTGAATTCCTCTTCCAATGTTGGCTTCCCGGTTAAGGGCCTAAAGCTTTTGGGAACTATAACTAGCACTTGCTTTAGATGGGCTCGTGGACTAGGCAGGTATTGGGCTAAGGTCCCACCAATTAGACACTTTAAAGAGTCTGGTCTGGTGCCCACAGTTTCACCCTATACCTATATGATGTTTGTTCGACTTGGGCTGATATTTATATGCCCAACAAATTGTTATCTGGGCTTGATTTTAGGGCCTATAAACAATCTCTCTCTGTGTGGTGACACAAAATTCATGACTATACTCCTGTTGGTGGAGCATTTGGATCCACCCAGGTAATTAAGAAAATTCTCTGATCCAGTTTCACGTAATTAGAGGTGCAAATATCACAGCTACTCCAGATCTTAATTAACACTCCTGTGAAAAAGGTAAGAACGCAAAATTTACAGCACGCCCACAAGCTTCCTATTAATCAGACTACAAGACCCAAAACTCAAAACCATCTGGCCCAGTGAATTGAACAAATAAATATAGAGATAGAAAGTATTAGGCTCAAGTTTGAGCTCGAGCTTAATCATAAGCCAAGTTTTTTTTTGAAAAAAAATTATATGTATAAAATTATTTTATTTTTTATTTTTTAGACAAAAATTTAAGAATTATAAAAATTAATTAATATTATATATAAAAATAATTTTATTTTATATACAAGAAAATAAGAATGATAGAAATTATTTACTATTATGCATAAAATAAAAATATTATATTAATAAAAATATTATTATATATTTATATGTATGGATGTATGTATGTATTTATGTATGTAATAAAAATTATTTATTTAATACTAGGCTCGTGAGTCTCACGAGCCGAGCTCAAAGCTCAAAGCTCAAAGCTCGAATTCGGCTTGAAATTCGGTTTAAACCGATTTTTTTTTAAACCAAACTCGAATAACTCGTGAAAGGTTCGGCTCATGACCACCGTATTGGTCCAGTAGCTTCTAGTATCTTCTTCCTCTCTACAAGTCATCAGTGCCAATTAGCTGCGGCCAAGACTCTATTATTGGTGCCTTTAATTTAATCTGTAAGGCCGCTGTTCATCGCCTTCAATGAAGGGAGACCCTCTTTATGACAGGAAACCCAGAAAAGCAACAATTAACAAACGGATAGATTGTTTTGTTTGTCTCATTCCTTCCATTTTCACTTTTACCATAGCCATTAATTTTTATAGGAGAAAGAACGAACCACATAAATAACAGTAGAGGTAGAACTATCCTCAAGGCTCAAGTACAGGGAAATTCATCTGGAACTAGAACAATACATTAGGCATAAACTGATGTGCATAGAAGACATCTGATTACCAAGACAAGACACCAGAACAACAATGACAATGGCGAAAAGCAAACATTTAGGTGACTACCAGGATTTACCACAATACATCTACCGCAGTCACCCAGTTCTTTGCACACATCAACTAATACTGGACAAGGCATTCCTGCTTCCCAGGGATCATTGTAGCGTTGGTTCCTTGATTCCCATTATTAGTTGCTTTCTCTTCAATGTTTCCCTTTGCATCGACATTGCAAGCAATAGCTTCAAAAATCAGAGCCATCACCTCCTGGAACCTCCCTTCAGAGAGGGAGACCTCTGCAAGGAGCCTGCATGCGTTCTCCTCTGTTGCTTTCTCATAGTCCTGTTTCCTTTTTAACACCATGTGGCCACTGATTTCCCACACAACCGGTTGGCCTGAGTGTCAAGAAGCTCTGGGTTTACCTCCCCAAGTGCCTACTTCTCAGCATAACACTGTAGTTGTTTCAAGCAGCAAAGTCCATCAGCAACCCTCAAACACAAGACCTCTGACCGGATAGTTGACAGCTCAGAGATTTTCACACCTCCGTCAGTGGTGGTAATTCTTCAGGTGGGAGCCTTATCAATTGGAACACCAAATTGTTTGGTTCAGCCGATTATTAAAAAATCGGGAATGTCTCAAAAATGGGGACCCCACGATCCATGAAACACTAAATTTGATATTTCATGCATCGGTAAACCGTTTTCCCCAACGGTTGACTGATGTGTGTCCTATGTGATGCTTATTTGGCGGTACATACATGAAAAATGGTGATGAAAATCACTTTACCAAACAGCATAGTATTGCTCACTGCCAATGTGGCAGAAGCGTTTTTTTTACGAAAAAAAGATCTTAGAAGCATGTGTTTTTTCTTGAAAACTGGTCCTAAAAACCCACGCTTCCAAACACAATGTATATCTACCATATCTATCCTAACCATGATTTGTGTGATATTATTCGTTTCAGTGTCGAGTCAATTCCACTTTGACTTGAATCCATTCACAGTTGGGGCCTTAGGGGTGCTCACTGAACCGTGGGGCATATTTTGTAAATGAATTGGTAATACTGGTTTTTGGAAAACTGGTAATCGAAACCAAATCGAAATTTATGGTCAACTGATTGACCAGTTTGGTTAATTATCGATTTGGTTCATCAGTTTTTTGGTTTTTTTTTATAATATATTTATATAATAAATATAATATTATATTTTAAATAATAAATAATATATTATATATTATAAATATTTATATCTATATATATAAATATAATACATATTTATTAACTTATAATATATATATATCAGTCGGTTCAGTTAACCGCTACTTTTTTTATTGATTAACCAAAATTGAACCGGTTATTTAATTTTTAAAAATACCGAACCGAAACCGAAACCGAAACCAAAACCAAACTGACCGGTCCGATTAACCAATTTTCGGTTCGATGTTTCGGTTTTTTCCTCACCCCTATCAGAGCAATGTTGAGCCGACTCGCCGCCTAGTGGTGACGGGTCATCTCTATGGTCCACACCTTCAAACTTCAACATAGAGATCAGACTAGAAGAGTACGGAAGAATAGCGTTTCGACGAGAAGAAATCAAGAAAAAACCCCTTCCTCTGATCTCTATTCAATTCTCATCTTTCAGATGTTCCATCTACTTTCTTTCTCCACTGCGCCTTATCTTTTGCAGTCAGTCATGCCCGGTGAAACATCTCTTCTCAAAACCGCTTTTCTAAACCCCCAAATATCCATCTTCAGAACCCACTCTCTCCAATTTTCACGTCGCCGGAAAAGAGCTCTTCTTCCGGGTGCCTTGTTTTCTGGATGGAACACCGTTTTCCATGGGGGGCCTGCCACAAAAGTTTCGGCTGTTTTGGAAACCAAAGAGAATACTGTAATGGAGGGCCAAAGTACTCCTGTGAGAATAGTGGGCATCGTCGGAGAAGGAAGCGTCAGCCCACTAAAATGTACACCTTGGGAAGAGGTCATGCTTCACACTGTAAGTGAAAAAAACAAAAAGGCAGCTTCTCCTTTCCTATTTCTCTCTCTTAATAGAGTATAGCAGAGACCCTTCTCTCTCTCTCTCTCTGCTTGATTTCTGATATCATGGTCCCTTGATCAAACTATTTAAATCATAATACTCTGTGGCGCTCGCTAGATTACTCTAAATATCGCTTGTTTGGCAATGTACCGAGAACCAATACAGAACCAGACACCCGAGACCAGACCACTGACATTGTCAATTCTTATTTTGCCGTCTATGACCCCCAATTATAATTGAATACAATTAAAAAACCTCCACTAAACTGTAAAGTAGTATGGAGGATCCTCCTCGCCTGGACACCAGCTGGTGTACTGTATCTTTTCTGTTAATCTTTTTTGGTGTCCATCACTTCTGCCTTGAGGAAGGGGGTCCTTCTTGGTGTTTTAGAATTTCAGTTGAAGACCCATCTTGGGTGATCAGTCTCACAGAGGGCGATTAGCCCGAATATTAGGTCCTACTGCTGCATGCCCTGAATCTACAAAGGTCTATATACAGCCTTTCCTTAAGGGGCATTAAAGAATTCCATGAGCAAAATGGCCAGAGGGTGAAGCAGAGAGTGCTTCTCCTAACTCAACGGGCTGAGTTTTGGGGCAGAGCATCAAAACGTGTCTTCTATCAGGGAGTAATCTGGTATGAATATTGATGTTACCGTATCCGGTCACGTGTCAATCTTTTTTCCTGATGTACTCAGGGGCTGAAGTGGAGCTCCTTGGTGGCGAGCTGCCTTGTGGTGAGCTACCTTGATGAGCTTGATGAGCTGCTTGGAGATGGGCTACCTTGATGAGCTGTTTGGAGGTGGGGCTACCTCGATGAGTTGCCAGGTAGTGAGCTACCTTGATGCTGAGCTCCCTGGTATAGTGCAACCCGACCGCTCCCTGTAGGAGATGATCTACTCCTCTTTGTAGACGGCGGGAGCTGGGGGACCTGCGAGAACTGAGTCAAAGAACCCGGGGGTGTTTACCTGGAGAAGTCACTCCGATGGCTAAGTCAACACTTAGTTGTAGAGCTGAAAATGATATAAGAGAGTGAGAGAGATGAAGAGCAGGGGTTACCACATCTTCCTTCAGCCTTTTCGCATACCTTTTTCCCTAGGGGGTGAGGTCTTTATATACTGGAGTCCTTGTGGGTTAGGTGGAGCAGTTCCTGGATTCCCACTGTGATGGGACTTGCTTGCGTGTTAGGTGGAAAAAATGCCATCCATCAGTAAGACTGTCCCTTCCCGTCTGAACCGGGGAGTTGGTGAACTAATATAGCCATTACAAAGTATGGTCCTGTGGGATATAGAGTACGGAGGTGTGCTCCTCGAGGTTGTCAGGTTGGCGCCTGCGCCAGGCCGCCAAGTCGTGCCAGGGCCAGGCTGCCAGCTCGTGCCAAGGCCAGGTCGCCAGCTCGTGTCAGGGCCAGGCTGCCAGCTCGTGCCAAGGCCGCGCCTGGTGGGACACCATCAACTTAGCAAAGGCAAGTTGTTGCCAAAGTGGTCCCGGGTGTCACCTAGTTGTTCTAAGGTGCTAGGCTACATGAGGGTGAGCCTGTGGCGAGTTGCCTGTAACGAGCTGCTTGTGGCGAACTTCCTGTGGCGAGCTCGAGCTGTCTAGTTGTCGAGAGGCTGCACTTAATTGGCATAAGGTGCCAGGTGTCACAATGTCACTGGAGGGCCAAATCCACCCTCATCAAATATGATGCATCCTCCCACAAGACGAACCTTGCGTAATGCATGGACAGTAAAAGTTTCACTTCGTACAGTATAAGAGTTTTTTCAAAGGGATAGAAGAGGCCCCTTTATCCAACTAGCAGGAAACGGAGGAAAAATGCAATCTCGTTTATTGTTATTTTCCATTGTACCCTACTATATGTTTTTTTAGATGGTGAGGAGCTCTTTTTTTCATGCAAGACTTCACACAGCAATTCATCTGTGGCCAGGAAATTCCATTCTTTCTTCATAAGGGTCCCACCATTTGTGACATCAGTGAATTCTTGTTTGAGACAATAGCTGCATTGTGCCATTCTGGTGGACATGCTGTGCTCAAGAAAAGGGAGTATATGGATTTAGATGATTGCCGCCTCTTTTAGCACAGTGGATTGCAATCCTCAGGACCATCATTCATTCCAACACCATGTTGTGGGTTCTTATCCCCTTGAAGAAAACATAGTTTTATTTGGTATTACCCATACAGACATGGTAGAATGTTGAAAACATTTTCTTTACTAGCTTTTTTTTTTCTTCTCATAAATGCAGGTCGATAGACTAAAATGGATTGATGAAGGATTTCAGATGCTTGTATTTTCTGACAACATTCTAACCCAATCTGATGACCCAAGGGTGGAAGCACTCAAAAAGGAGTTAAGCCATGCAGATATCTTGGTGGTTGTTGCTGTTAATAATCAAGAATCAGTCAAGTGGATCCAAACAAGCGGTGAAAGTGTCCGAAACATCATCTGCTTTGACTCATCCCCTACTCTAATTAACAAACTCGGAGGATCATACATTCATACTCAAGTAAAAGGAAATATATTCACCAAAATCACTGGAATTATTCAGGGTAATAACACAAATGAATCAGTTGAAGTGGTTCAAACAGTGTCTGAGGCATGGGATCGTTACAATTCTGATGATATAAGGTTCTGCTTATTAGTCATAATCAATGCTTATATAAGGCCGGTTCCAATCTTAAAGAACCTAAGGTCAAAGGGTCTCTCAACACTTAATTGCATGATAAAGAACTGTGGTCCACAGATATTGAATTGCCTCTTGGATCCCAACTGTAGGAAGGCCCTCCAATGCTTAAACCGCTGTAGTCCAGTGGATCAGGTCTGTAATTATCAATGCATTGCCTCGTATGAGAGTCCACAGCTAGAAGCATTTTCTCTCTGTGTATTGCAGAAGCATAACTGTCTAGAATTGGATGCAAGGATCCCTGACAAGCCTTATGTGCCTCCAATGGTTCAGTTTCGAGGAGAGGACTTGTGTCATGAAGTTGCTGAGGATCTCTTTGTGGGTTGGTTGGGTAGTTTGGATTGGAGTTGGCGAGTTGTTGCAGGGCAAAATCCAGCTTATGATCAGTTCCCCTGCCAGTACCAGCTATTCTATAGAGGGAAGGCTAGAGGGTCCTTCTGGTATGAACCTGTTTTTCAAGTGAGAACCTTAGAGGGTAAGATAGTTTGGAGGCGGCGCCGATATCGAGTTAGGAGAGGCAAGATTCCTGGGACCTTTTACTTCAGTGTCTTAGATAATGGTGTTGTTTCAAATGAGTATTGGACAATTGTGGATGTCGCTGAAGATCTTAGTTGGGGTTTATTTCACTACAGTGGGGCTGCTCAGGTTGCTGGACTGGCTTATACTGGGGCAGTGCTTGTTAGCCCAAACGGACAGTATCCAAATGAGATGCAGAGACCACAATTAATTTCTGCTTTGAAGAAGAGTGGAATCAAGGAGTGGGAGCTTTACACAGTTGATAATCGTTCTTGTCCTGACCCACCTCTGGGACTTCCTGAGGGATCAGGTTTGCATTGTAAACTTGAAGTTAAAAATAAGAAGTGATTGTCTTCATAGATACAACAAATCACTCATCTATGCATCTCAAAGTTCATACCACATCTTAAATTCCATAGCACACCTACAAATACATGGACAGATTAAAAAGCTGGAGCAATGCTTGAAACATGAATGAATATGATAAATAAAAGGTTGGTTTCCACAGGGAATCTTCAGACAAACTCAGAGAAAAAAAAAAGTGAAGTGAATCGTTGTTGCAAGAGCATTTTGAAGCGTACCATTCACACAGCCATTCATCTTTTAACAATGTGCATGTAAGATGTTACTTGAAAAATCAATTTCTGCCATAATAGATGTATGGTGTGCATGTAATTTGGATGATTGAAGAAATTTATGCTGCCATAATATGTTGAGGGGAAATTGTAAGAGGATGATAGAAGCAACACAAGTTAGACTAACAAAAGGCATGGTGCTTACTTTGCTTTAAGAGATAGCTAAGAAAGATATATCTGCTCCTTTACATGCGTATGAATTTGGGAGGCTGGTTTGTTTTTTATTGATTCTAATGGTTTGAACTGCTGCATTATTTAAAGTTCTACATTACAAGAGGACTAAACTGCACCAGGCTTGTGGCCAACCAAAAACAGCTGCCTACAGATAGGTACACAATCAGCTAGAGCTCAGTTGAAGCTCCAATAAGTATATATGGGTTGGTCATATTTGATTCCTCCAGTTAGCTTGGCTGGAGCTGTCCAATATAAGCCTCAGCCAGATGGTGTATGTTGGTGGGTACCAGCAGAGGGCAGTTACAAATGTTTTACTGACCAGTGATCTTCACATGGCAGCTCTCTTTGGGGCCCAAAACACTCCATTTCCACAGGCTAGTTTCAACCCAATAGCCCAAGCGGAGTGGCCAGAAGAACACTTTCTTCTTGGCAATTTTGTCAATCAAAACTTTGAACTATAGCAAGTTGTTTTGCTTAGGGGTAGTACAACACAAGGTAGCTTACATGGTTGGACAGATCACTCCATCTAAGGTAAGCTTTTACCCTTGGCATTACTCCAGGGGTTGTGAAATTTAATTTCTGGGCACCATGTTAACTTGCTGTGGGCTCAAATGAGACCTTGTTTGGGCCTAGGCCAAGCATCTAGAGTTGATTCTTGATCTGGGTTGAAGTTAGGGATTTGGGGTTGTCTCCGATAGTCCGATTGGGTTCCAATCGGAGCATGCGGCGTTTGAATTCCAATCCGAAGGTAGATAGCATATTAGCATGTGTGCGTCTATTTTGTATGATACTCAAGATTTCCAATCACACAGTTGACAATATATCACCAGCAAATTGTTTAGCTTTTGTATTGAATAACTAGCATGTAAACCCATGCAATGCCTGGGGTTGAATAGAAATTTGGTTAGGTTTGAGTTGGTAAATTCGGGTTTTGACATCACTTTGGCTCCATTTCTTAGCCTAATTCAATCCATCTAATTTACACCTTACTTTATTAGAGAGGGTTAGAAGGGCTTTATTAGGGAAGAGAGAGAGATGAGGAATTTGGTATCAACATTGAGGTGAGAGTACTCCAAAACTGTACAAATATGTTAAATAAATTTATTTATAAAAAGTGTTTTTTTTTTTTTTTTTCTTTTGAAGCCTAAACACATAAGTATCTTAGTAAAGCAAATTCTACTAATCTACAAAAATAAAATCTTATATCACAGATTTTGAATTCGAGTTGGATTGAATTGGATCTAATATTAATTTGCTTCAGAACAAATGGATCGACGGATCGAATTCTTGTATCTTAAATTTGGATTTGGATAGTTCTGATTCGACTGGACCAAAATCCAGTCCATTCTCAGCTCTAGATAGATTAAAGTTAGTGTTTGGATAAACTTCAGTGCTTTTAAAGACCAGAAGTACAACGCCCCAATAAATAGATCTTAGAACAGTTATGCAGAATTTTATGCCTTTAAAAGCAATTATTACCAAACACACACTTTTTTTTTGCTTATTTTTATTTTCTACAGCCCAAGGCTCATAAGTATAAGATTGATCTCAAATAAATTAAACTAGGTTAAAGAGGATACCCATTTAACAACACTTTTGAATTCTTAGTATGCTAAAGAGATAATTCTACTCTTGACTCTTGAGCTAGCTCCTAGTCCATACCACTCCCATCTTTGTATGAGGGGGCATTTGTTTTTTGGATTTTGAAGGGGGCGGGAGTTCGATCCCAGACCAAGAAATCTATGTTATTTTTTATTTTAGATTTATGTGGAGGTCACAAAAAATTTATTTTTCTGGGTCCATTTTATAGGTGGATACTAGGGGAAAGATGGCAATACTTGGATGGAACAAAAATACCCCTTTTAATAATGAATTTTTATGACTAAAATATGGTCATTGGTTTATTTTCCTGGGAAATAGAAGAACATGGATAAATAACTTACCTAAAAGCGAACGGGAAACTAATACACTATCAATACTTAGAAGTTTGAACCACTGTGTGTTTTATGTTTCAGTTAGGTTTTAATGTAGCTTTCACCACTTAAGCATGAGGGGGTGCAAGTTGGGTTGGGTTGTAAATCTGTTAGGTTTTCAAAAAACTCGACTTACAACCTTACTTGGAACTTGGAGGGAATCTAAAATGTCTAGAGACTCTGAAGAACCATTACAGTTACAACCCAGCAAAAAGAGACTATGCACTTCTTCCATATTTAAGCCCTCCGCTTAGATCTTGAAGAGCTAATTAAGCTACCTTGCATCGCCTGCAACCTCATTTTCCAGTTGCCAGGTTTTGATTCTGTGCAGTTTCCCAAAACAACATTTCCCTTATCAATCTGCAAACATTGCAAAGTTGTACTTGTACTGTTGTACATCTTGCCCTCATTAGTCATTAAGGATGCAAATTGGGTTGAAGTCAACCCTAATTCTAGCCCAACCCTAAGATTTCAGGTTGGTTAGGATTGGGTTGGGTTCGGGTTGGCTTGATTTTTCTACTTCTTTCTTGTCAAATTTTGGTAATTTAGTATTATTATGTCTAAAAAGACATGATTATCATGTTAAAAAAAATTGCCTTAAAACTTAAAATTTTTGATAGTCAATATACAAACATACATATATACATATATGCATACATACATATATACATACATAGATAATTATGCATATATATAAATATACAAGTATTTGTGAAAAATACATAAATACATAAATATAAATATAAATATAATACATAAATACATATCTATATAATATTTTACATGTAAATATGAATTTAAATTGTATTCTAATTGGACCAGGTTGGTAAATGCCTCAACTCTAACCCAACCCAAAGACCAAAGTTAAATTGGGTTCACACTTCTCAAGCCCTAATCTAACCTGAACTTCAATCAAACCCTACTTTTACTTTTTTTTGGCTGGGTTCGGGTTAGTTTCAGTCTAATCCGGCCCAAGTTGCAACCCTACTAGTCATGTACTCATATCACTTTCTAGACTACCCCGCCAAACCCAAAAGTTCCAACAGCCGGGCAGCGGGCTGAACCTAAATTGTTAGTCATACATTTGTTTCCTTGCATTCTTTACAACTGCATCATACGGCACACACCTGGATTCTGGAGGATGGAGCAATTTTCATTTCAAGTAAACTCTCCCCACCATCAGTCCAGGTGGTCCCCACACAAATATGCGAATCTTTGTTTGAGATAGGTTTTTGGGTTTTCTTCTATTTTCATGGTTGGGCTTGGTTTCGCCAATAACCCAACTCAAACTCTCCAAGTTTGACGACTTGTTGCGTTGGATTGGATTGTATCAGTTCGGTTCAATAGTTGAAGCGGTGATTTCTGAACTATTTCGCGTTGGCGGGAGACCTCTATTTGGCGGGAAATCATGTCTGAATGACGAAAATACCCTTCGTCACGTTACCAAAATAAATGAATAATCCAACAAAAGCATGCCATTTTTCCGTATCACGAGGGTTTTAAAATTATACAACTTCCTTTCTCGGTTTCCCCTTTAAAAACCCTAGAATTTGAAGTTTGAACACCACCATCAGCCGAAAAGTTTTGGATCGGTAATGGCGGACGCGGAAGAAGAGAACACAGAGACCCTTCAACCCGCGTTTCCACTCGGGCGAGTGAAGAAGATCATGAAACTCGACAATGAGATTAAGAAGGTGAACTCGGAAGCTCTCCTCCTGGTCTCCCTCTCCACTGATCTATTCCTCCGATTCCTCGCCGAGAAATCCGCCGGGGTTGCCGTCGAGAAGAAGCGAAAGATCGTGAAGCTCGAACACCTGAGAATTGCCGTCAAGAAGCACGAACCCACCAAGGATTTCCTCCTCGATTCGCTCCCGATGCCTTCTCAGGTGTCGACTCGTCCATCGACGGCCGAGAGCCGACCTAAGCCCACCGTTGAGAAGGCCGTTCCCGCTGGTACTCACAGGATCGATGATTTCTTTCACAAATGTTCAAATGGGATTTCAAATCAGACCGAGTAATTCTTCCCTTTTACATGAATTGTTTACTTTCTCTTACTCATATAAGTATTATATATCCCTGTGTGTTAATGGAGATTTTGATGTGGTAGTGTGTGATAGAGTGCCGTTTGATCTTTTGACCAGACGGTGATGGGCCTGAGATTGCTATATACCCCACCAAGCATATGGTCTGTAAAATGTAAATTACCTAATTGGGGAAGTGCTACTGCTAGAACTAGTCTGATCTAAGCCACCGTCAATCTCTAGGGAGATGGTAATGTGCATTTGATATCCCAAATCTGCTCAGCACCAAATTATATCCCTCTAGTAGATAATAGATAACTGCTAAAAGTTGGACATTGGCCCACTGAACTGGATAATGGGCACCCACCATTAAATGGTCTCACTTTTATTTATTTATTTATTTATTGATATTTGATTAAATAGTCCTACTTGAAGAATTGGAAATAGTTACAAAGTGATCCAAATATACTGTGCTAATCAAATGTTTTATATCTTCTAACCATGCCTCTTACTTTCCTACCAACCTTTCCCTTATCTTTACTTTGCATTTTCTTTGCTATTGGGGTCCGTTTGATTTGCAGTTGGAATCAGAATGGAAATCAAAATCTTTTGGAATTAGAATCAGAATAGTCTATTCCTATAATATATTTGGTTCAGACAGGAATGATGATGAAAATTTGAATCAATAAGAATGGAATTTCATTCTCAAAGGAGGGGCAGGGAATGGTCATTCCCTCAACGGGGGAATGGTCATTCCCTCAACGGGGGAATGGTCATTCCAGTAGGAATGGAAATGGGATTCCAATTCTGCTCAACCAAATAGTTGGAATCGATATAACCCATTCTAATTCCGATTTCAGACCCTATTCTCGCAAACCAAATGGGGCCTGAATGTCTACAATCCTCTCTAAGTAGTACTGCAGCCATCTCGCCAATTCCATTCCACCTCTTTAGTGCCTTTTGAACACCTTTCACTCTATTATTCAATCTCTGTTCAGCCTACTTTGTTGAATTAGTGGAAGCTAAGTTTCAATTAGCAAGCTTGCTGAGGGCTTTGCGGGCCTGTATATTAACAGCACCTAATTTAAGAGCAACCTAAGGTATCAGAAAGAAAAACGAACTTGAGCTTCCAATTATCAATGTCCTTACGAGTGATCCATCTTGAATGCATGGCCTTCATTCGCAATCCAATCAGCTGCATGGTTGTATTATTGAGGTTTCACTCACGCACTATCTTCATCCATTCTTCCTTCATGGTTGCACATGTTGATGTAGCATGCGTTACTCCTTTTAGGGTATCTATTGTGGTCTTCGAATCTCATTGATACAAAAATCTCCTTCTATAATGACTTTACTTGCACCCAACTCTTTCACTAGTCTATGGGCTTCAAGCATGGTTTTTAAAACTGACTCGAAAGTGGAACCGTTTTAGGAACCGTTTTCCGGTTCGGTGGTTCAACTGTCTGGGTTGAATGGTTCGACTCATGATGTCATAAATAAATAAAAAACAAAAAAATATTTATATATAATAAAAAATATTATAGAAATTTAAATAAAATACAAAAAATGCACAGAAAAATACAGGAAAAAGAACAATATATGAAAAATATAAAATAATAAAATACAAACAATACAAAAACAATTCCAAAAAAAACAGAAAATTTTCCAAAAAATGTAAAAAAATATGTAAGCAAGAATATGTAATGTCCAGTCATAGAACATGAACTTGTGCAACATGTGAATTACTTACAACATTTTTCACTTGTGCACCATTACCAAAGCTTGATTTTCCAACTGGGATAGGAAGAACTTTGGAATCACTAATGGGGTTAGAGACAGGATCTGTTGGGATCTCATCAGCTGATTCACGAAGAATAGCATTAAACATGGCCACATCTAATCTATTCATGCATTGCTCCATCACCTGGATATCGAGAAAAAAGGATTGCCATGTCATATTTAGAGCTTAGACCTGACTATATATTGATAGGGCGAAGGAGAACAACTACTAGAATATTATTGCAGAAAGACTGATACCTGAGTATGATATAGGAAGTGAATTCTAGAAACATATAAAAAAAGGGGCTACTTGTAAAGGAATTCCATGTTCACTCTACATGTAAAAGGGTCCATGTTTAAACTATCACTTAACAGCATCCATGCAATGGTCAATCCATACAATGCTTAATGCTTGTGCACCCAGATTAGCACTGGATAATAAAGGCCAATTACAAATGATAGCTGGGGCACTTGATTGGTGCAAGTACATTAGTAACAGATAATGAAAATATAGACTACCAGTCTAGCCAGCACAGGCAAACAACCACACTCATGGCCTCCAGCTCGAACAGGGCAAAGCTTTTCACAAGCATCCCTGAAAGCTTCTTTCGAAAGGTGTAAAGAAAAGTTCCCCTGTTCTTGCTCACCCAAACTCCCTGAGTTTGATGCCATTACTTTATCATTTGCTATCCCGGTGGCAGACTGCATATATGGTGTTAGGGTCTGGAGAAACAAACAGAAAGCCAGGTCAGAAGGCTAGCAGCAATTCAGGATGCTTAATCTAGAAAAATCTGAAACGTTAAATTAGGGGGGAGGTGGAAAGCACTTGGAATTGACCTGCCACCAACAGATTCAATTATTTGGGAGAAAATCCAGGCTTCAACATTTTCCAGTGCAGTTACAAATGTCTGCGGATCCTCCCAGTCATCAAAATCATTAGAAAAAACAAACTTCTCTTTCTTGTTCAGAGAACTTTCATTCCATTTTAATGGAGAAGATTTCTTTTCGTTTCCCATTTTACCACCATTAGCTTCAATTTGGGGATCAACACAAATTGATGGTTGAGATTCCGCAACAACCTGGCTAATAATTGCCCTTAAAACAACTAAATTCGACAACCAAAAAGTTAACCTGCATTCAAAGGAAAGCACAATCAGGTGGAGCGTGAGAGGAAATAATCAAGTTCCCTAGTGTAGCCTAAGTAACTGTATCAAATAGTTAAAGAGAGTTGCAGGCTTTGCAAACAAGTTCAAGAAGTTGCCTAATCAAGTTCCCTAGTGGGCTCGGGCAGTCGGGCTTGGTCACAGGCAAGTTGCCGCTGCAAGCCTGCAAGTACTGCTCCAAGAAATTGACAGTGGGCTTGCTCGCCAATGCCCAATGCCCAATGCCCAATGCCGAGTACCGAGTGCCGAGTGCCGTTGCAAGCTTGCCATTCGTTGTTGTAAGTCGCTGCTGCAAGTGCTGGTGAATCTTTTCGCCGTCGGACACCGCTGCAAGTGCTGGTGAGGGTGACTCTTCTCGTTGCTAAAAGCTTGCCAGTCGCCATCGGTGTGTGTCACCGTTGGATGCCGGAGGTGATGGCCGCCGCAGGTGGTCGGTCGGTAGGGTGTGAGGGTTGAGAGGACTGAGGATGGAACTCGGGAAGGCTTAGAATTCTAACCCTAAAGCTAAAGGGAATAAGGGATTCAAACCGGATTGGGATATAATAAGAATTTTATTTTTTGTTTTTTTTTTTATTTAAAACATTAAAAATAAAAAGATAACTCTTGAACTTCTGCCCGGTCAAACGGTTTAGTGGTCCGATCACCCGCGTCAGTGTTTTTTTTTACCTTTTCAACGTTTTTTACCAAATTTCGGTTTTTAGTAAAACCAGACCCGGGGGCTGACCAGTTACCGGTTTTGAAAACCATGGCTTCAAGCTCTCATTTTAGCCACGGTGATGGTTGTGGAACCTATAGAATCGGCTAATATTTTTAGGATTTCTCCTTTATTGTTCTGGACTACACAGCCATTAGCACAATAATTATCCTCTCTTTTCGAAGCAACAAAGTTGATTTTAATTGTGTCCTCACTTGGTAGAGTCCATTTTACCAATATAACTTTGTTGTGTACTTGTTTCGTTGCCCATTCTGGTCTTTCTCAACATTTTGAACTTCTATATAGTATCTGTTACTTTCTAAAACTTTCTTGATGATCCCCGGAAGCCTTAGTTTCTATTCTTCCATAGGTGCCAAACCCAAAGGATAGAAGCCACTTTCTCCCGCATTAGGCTATATTCTTTGTCTTTTCTTTCTTCAACAAAGCTGTTCCACCAACGTACTAGAGATTGGCTTCCATCAAGGTTGGGAACCAGGAGTTGGTCATTAACTAGCCTCCAAACTTGAATGGCTAATGGACAATTAAGAAGAATGCGGTTTGTGTCTTCAGGGTTCCCACAAATATGGCATTCTGGATTGCATAATAATCCTCTTCTCTTCAGATTTTCTTTGCAAGGAATTTTATTTCTTATGACCACCAAAGAAAGATTCTTATTTTTAGGTGATCTAGTAGGCTGATGATTTGTCCAACTTGTGGAGGATGAGATGAACTCAGATCTCCTACTCACAAACTCTTTGCGCATCCTTACCCATACGACACTAGAGGTGCGCATTGGCAATATTTCCTTTGTCATTTATGAGATGTTTTCAATACACATCGACAGTGGTAGGGATTAGACTTGTTCATGGGCCAGTTTGGGCTTGGCTTTTGCCAAAATTTGAATGGGCCCGACCTAAAACCTAGGCCCAACATAGTGTAAAGTCAGGCCTGAAGCCCGACCTGTGAACAAGTCTAGTAGGGATGTGGAAAGAGTTTATGGGTAGGAGATTGAATGGGATTAGACCTATTAATGGGCCGGGTAGCCTGACAGTCCAGCCCGCACCCAGTTAGGCTTGGACATGTAGTTAGGCCCGCGGGTCTGACCTTGGGCCCAAAACACCAAGCCCGATTGTGTTTTGGGCCGGGCTCGGGATTTGTCAAAAAAGCCCGGCCCAATCGGGCTAATTTATATAATATAAAATATATAATATTTATTATAATGTATATTAATAATTTAATATATACATTTTTTATTTTTTCTTTATAATTTCTCTCTTTCTCTCTCTCTGTTCAGCCACTTCAGCGGTAGCAGTGGCAACAAGTTGAGCTTTAGACTTCGGGCTTGGGCCCAGGCTTCAAGCTTTTTATGAGGGCCAGGCTTGGGCCCAAGTTGTAGGCCCAATGGTCGGATCAGGCTCGAGCTTGGTAGGGCTGTTCACGGGTCAGGTTGGGTCGGTTTACTGTCATTTTTCCAATTGACCCGACCTGGTCGGTTTACCTAGAAATGAAACTGAAACCAACCCTGTACTAAGTAAAACCGACCTGGTCGGTTTGAGTCGGTTTGGATCGGTTTTGTGAATGATTCTCTCGGTGTGAACGGTAAAGGATTCAAGTCTAAGAAGCGAAGGCTGGATGCCTAGAAATTAAAAATGATTTGATGGATTAAAGCTGAAATTTTATATATAATATGCATATTTCTGAAATAAATAAATAAATATATATATATATATATATATATATATATATATATATATATATATATATATATATATATATATATATATATATATTTCCACAAATATATATATATCTGAAATATATATTAAAATTGAAATATATATATATATATATATATATAATATCTGAAATATATCATATATGTAATATATCTAAGTCGGTTCGGTTTTGGTTTTCACACATGAAAACCGAAACCGAACCGAACCATCGGTTTATGTTTTTTTGTAACCCGAAACCGATCGGTGCTGAAGAAAAAAACCGGCCAACACAAGTTGGATCAGACCGGGTTGGTCGGTTTGGGCCTTGTTATGAACAGCCCTAGGGCTCGGGCCTTAAAAAATTTGTTAATGAAGAGTGAAAGCTCGGCCCGACCCATTAATAAGTTTAAGTGGGATGAAATTAAGGGCCTATTTGGTTCGTGGGAATAGAGGTCAGGAATCAAAATCTGAATGGCTCATTCTGATTCCAACCATTTGATTGGTTGGAATTGGAATCCTATTCCTATTCCTGGTGGAATGCCATTCCCCCATTTGAGGGAATGGTCATTTCCTTTCCCTCCCCTTGGGAATGAGATTTCATTCCAATTTATTTCAATTCTGATTCTAATTCTAATTGAACCAGACATATTATTGGAATAGACCATTCCGATTCTAATTCCAATAAATTTTGATTTTGATTCCGATTCAAACTCCGAAAATGAACCAAACAGAACGAACCCAAAGGTCATAAGTCACTCAATCCAACAAATGGCCGTTTCCAATTCCATTGTCATTATAATAATTTGATGTTGAGAATATTTTTCTTTTTCTTGTAGCTGTATTTTTTTTCTCATTCATTTAACATTATTCAACTATGAAAAATCAAAAACTTTATAATCCCTGATCAGGGTTTCATGAACTTGTCAATTTTATAAGTTAAATGCAAATCAGCAAATGATCGAATTCAAATTGGAAATTCCTATGCCCAGTTGTATAATCATGAATAAAATGACATAAAAACAATTTCTATAAGACTGAATTTATAACTAAACCTAATCCATAAATTATCCAACCACAAACATAATGGATTTGAATTGCCCTTCATTATCAAATTCAAATTGGAAAATGAAATTAGATAGAGAATAACATGCCTAATGAAAGCCCATCAATAGTTAATGTGGAATGCATTAATTCTAGTTAGCATTTGGTCTTTGGTTGGTTGAGCCAACATTTTCGTTGATGGAATCTACAGTGAAGGACCATAGACTTGTTGTGGCTGACGCAGACAAACACCTACCAATGTTTCCTTCCACCATTTAATATGCAAGTTTAGGTCCTCAGGATAAAGAAACAGATAAGGTAGCGTGGAAGAGTTGTTTATTTGTTACTTCTGGCTCTGGTCATTAAATATGCAACCAAAAATTAAGATCTCAAGTTTGGATTGGATGTGATTCATCCGTAATGAATTCATATTGGATTGGGTTGGATTAAGCCACTTGATAGAAGATAAGAATATAGGTGTCAATGGACCATGTTTGAATTAGAATTACTTTAAATTAAAATAAATTTGTACAGATAGGACGATTTAAACATTGAATTAGATCGGTCTTAAATGGTTTAAAATATTCATTAGATTGGATTGAACCTAATCCATTTGTAATGAACTCACATTAGACTGGATTGGATTGGACCAAATCCAATCTAATTGACACCCCTAATCTGGCCGATACTGGTCTGTAAAGGGTCATTTTGGGCCCTACAGAATTGATATGGGCTGAAACTCTAGATGTATCAGTGTTGACGAATTGTGATATTGCTGTATTTACATTATCTCATTAATTCCTTCTATAATTACTCCTTGTCCCTCTTATAACTCTTAACAACCTTTTCTAGCCCCCTATAATTCCCATTTTTTTGGTATTCGGTGCCATACAGCACCGTTAATAACATCCCCTTAACCCCTTTTTTCCCAAAGAGCTTGTTGCGGGATTTGATTCCGTGTTAACGCTGGAATAAACCAGCTAACACACCAACGAGCCAGCCCTCGGTTGGTTAGCCCCCTACAATTCCTTTTAGTAATCCTATATTTAAGGCAAATTCAAAATTGTTTAATTTGAATTAATAGGTACATTTAAGGCTAAATTTAAATTCAAATTTGAAATTAACTGGCCATTAATACAATGTTCGAATTTGACATTCCATTTAAGACAAAAACACATGGCCTTACTACTATGCCAAATTCAAATTCCATTTGTTAAAAGTGCTTGTTTTGCCATAATAAAATAATAACATGATTAGCTAAGCTAAGTGGAAAATGTTCAAGGGTATGGTCCTATGGTTGTTTATTCCAAAAGTACCCCTAATACAGTAATACTTGTTTGTACAGAAAATAAAATTGGCCAAATAGAATGATTGCTCATGTCTAATGTCCAAAATTATCATTTTCCACTGTCATTTAATGAATGGTCAATTAAGTAAATTAATTACAAATTATAGTGGGTGTTTTAGTAAAACACAAATTATAGGGTAGGTTTTAGTAAATCCATGAAACTATAGAGGTCTTTTTAGTGAATGGTCCTTTTTAAAATTATATGCGCTTTTTCTCAATCAAATTTTCTCTTCTTAATGGATGTTTGTGAATTAATGCTAAAATTGATTTTAAGTTTTCTATACTAATATATAACAATAGAAATTATATTGATTTTTTTTTTGAAATTAATACACATTTAAGTTCTTCTACCAATTTTCAGCCATTACCAATTTTTGGGGCATGGTGAACCAAGGCATATAGATATTG